CGTCAGGGGTCTCCCCTGAGAGAATGGTGGAGTTCGGCAATCAGGGAGGCTTTATATTATGGTGGAGTGTAAACAAATGGTTTTCGGCGCGATGAGCGAGTATGTCAATCATTACACTCTGTATGGTACTGTATACGCAAGTCAATAGCTAACAATAACATCCCATTAGTAGACCGTTATCAGCCTCAGCAACTGCCAGCTGAAGGTGAGAGAAGGATGTGTGTGGGCGATATGTATGGGTGGCTGGTATACCATGCTCCATTTAGACGAGCGTTTGTGTCACGCCGTACAGAAAGCGTTAACTGACGCAGGCAACCGTTTCACTCTTTGGGGAAACCGTCGATATGGTATCTTCAGGAGTGTGATTTTTATTTGGGCAATCGGGCTTACTGTTGACGGGCATGTGGCCACCCTGTTCATCCATTCCGTTCCCTTTGTGTGTGGTGACTGATCCTTTACACAGCAAGTCGATGTGACCTCAGTGCGATGGCTGATCCATTACACAGCAAGTCGTGGCGACCTCAGTGCGATGACTGATTCATTACACAGCAAGTCGTGGCGACCTCAGTGCGATGACTGATTCATTACACAGCAAGTCGTGGCGACCTCAGTGCGATGACTGATTCATTACACAGCAAGTCGTGGATGACCTCAGTGCGATGGCTGATCCATTACACAGCAAGTCGTGGCGACCTCAGTGCGATGGCTGATCCATCACACAGTGAGCTTTGTCGACTTCATCAACGGGATCAGCTGTGTCGTCATTGTGCTGGTTGATCCTTTACACAGCGGATTCTGGCAACTTCATCAACAGGATCAGCCGCCCCCTCATTGTGATAGCTGATCCATTAAAAAGCCCACGGCGAGTTGTGACGACCTCATCAACGGGATCAGCCGTCCCCTCATTGTGATATCTGATCCATTACACAGCGAGGTGTGGCAAGTTCATAACTGCGATCAGACGTGCCCTCATTGTGATAGCTGATCCATTACACCGCAACTTCATCAACGGGAACAGCCGTGCCCTCTGTGTGCTGCCTGATGCTTTCCACAGTGAGTTGAAGTGGCGACTTCATCGGAGGGATCCACTATGTAGTGTGTACCCAGTAGACAGGCTTACGTATTACATACTGAATTGCAGTGACTTCATAAAATGGGTCAACCTCAATGTCATGGCTGATACTCTGCACATAAAATTGCGGCGACTTCATCAATGAGATCACCCATGCTCCCTTTGTGACAGATACTATGGATCCTGATATCCAGTGAGAGGTACCGGCTGATCAAACTAACAATGTAGTGTGATTGTCTACTGGCCGAAGGCAATACGTCAATAACGAACTCAAATAACGATGGTATATCGATCCCTAATAACAAACGACAGTTTCGATACACGTAAAACAATAAAAACCACACGGACTTGTAACAAAGGTGAACACAAAAATGCCTGAATGTGTATTGGCATCTTATCCCGTATCTATATGCTAGATATATAACAAAGCTGATCTATTGACACCCAGTCATACCACGAAACAAACGCCATGAGTTTCCCGCATGACTAATCCGAGATCTCATCTGCATTTACACCACAGGCACATTGAGGTGATCCTGTTACAATGAAATGGTTCCATTATTCAACTCACGTGATATACATAATACAGATAACAACGTTACTGACCCACAAGGGAACTAATACCATTTTTCAATTTCCATTTCCCATAAGAAGATGGTTGCACATCGATATTGATCGATGTTGAGTTCATCAAACACCTGGGCAATACACCAGTTAGATCACAACGTGTAAACTCGTTGACGGTTGAACGTCCAAGGCTGCAGGACATTCTCAGCCTCGGGAAAGCCAAGAACATGAGTATTATGGTAATCAGGGCGTTTCCATCAGTTTGGATGGCATAGTTGTCTATTTTTGCAAATATACAAATAAGGGAACACCACTTCATGGCAGTGTTCCTTTATTTATTCTCATATTTCCTCCCACAGCACTATTCAAAGCTGGTGATGAAAACTGGAAAATATTAAAGGAACGCTTGAATTTTCCTGTGTTCCTTTATTTGTTTTTCTCAGTATATCTTTCGTATCGTATGTAATTTCTTTCTTAATTTTATTTCCCGCTTTTAAATTCTATTTACAATTAAATTGATCTGTCAATTTATTGGTACAATAAGGATGTGGTGTCTTGAAATATGGCGTATGAGGAACCAGATGATCAGGAATGGTTCTAGACACATCGTTCCTAATCTTTCTGCAGCATAACTGCTGGCCCTCAGGGTCTTTAAGGCTACTGCCCCTTCACAGACAGCTGGGATGATATAGGTTTAGTATGACAAGCTCTGCCTGTCTTAATTGATTATCCTTTGTAATATCAAATAACACTTGCTTTAAAGGGATTATTAACTAAAGAACTAAAGTTCTGGCATTAGCCGACGGACGAAGGAATTCATTTGATCAGACCGGAAATGACAGGAACATAATCTTACCGTTGTCATACTTAACACGGCTAGAACTGACCCTAAATGGTTCATATCACAGAAATAAAAACCCCAAAGCTCAGAAAAAATGCATGGTAAGCAACGGCTATTGGTTCAATGTGACATCTGCGCAGAAACATGGCCTCAGCACTGGATTAGGTCCGGTTAAGTCGCGTGACGTCATTCGACCTTGGCCTTCGATCAACGGGAGCCATTTTAAGACCTGTCCCAAAGTTAACTGTCAGAGTGTCCTGGACCTTGACATTCAAACGACGCAGCAGTGACTGATACTGGCATTGAAAGGAGGTTTGACGTGAAGGGTAAGGACCGTTTCACTTTGCTGGTTAACTGGACCCCTGATTCACCTTCCATCAGCAAAGTGATGTGTACTTCCGGGAACCCAATCAACCTGGACATATCCGTCATCAGCTGGCTTATGGGGCACTCGCTCAATCACCGTAAGAGCCGTACCGACATTTGTCAATGTTAGATTGCAAATAAACAATGACAAACTGATTGATAACGGCCTGTTGTTAGGCACAATGCGTGTATTATCAAAATAGTGTCGACTTCGCTCTACCTGATGGCACGGGGACCGTTTATGATAATTCTATACATTTTAGATATAGTAAATGAGCTAGCGAAAATCCACGTCGTTATGAATATAGTCCATGTGGGATGGTAGATGTTTGATGGTACGTACAATCTGATACATAAAAATATATGGGTACTCAGTTCACCTACAACAACAAACAACGTACATCTATTCCAAAGTATTATTGCTACAAGAACTAAAAATTCGATGGTTTGGTCAGTCCAACAGAAGATGGCTTTGTTGTTATGGCGGGGTAGCACACCGACTATCAAGCTGCAAATCTCGTGGCAGCCCCGCTATACAACGTTCATATCTTCACATTCTGTGTGCGTTCATAGCGGGTTGCCATTTGTCAAAACTTAGGAGTTACCTACCGCTGCATGTCGCCATTTCAAGGACTTTCTGGTTCTGATAGGCAAAACAATGTTCCTTAAACATTAGGACATCAACATGGTTTCCATGGTAACGAATATATGGTTTCGATGACAACGAGATTTTACCTTCGCAACATAACACAGTGCCAACCTTTATCAGTCATGATCATTAACATACAGTTCTGGTGTCTATCCTGACGTATCAATTGTTATTTAGCATCAGACCAAGTGTAAAGTCATTTCTATGTATTTAACTGTCAGGCAAAAGAAAATATACGCTCTTACATTAATAATTCAGGCGCGTAGGAAGTCAATTTGTTCGTGTAAGCTCGATAGGTTGCAAAGCTTTATATTTATAATCTGTTTGCAGTGAAAACGTACCGATGAATTTCACTTCATTTGGTTTACTTTTTTTATTAAAGTGAAATTCGTCGGTACGTTTTCACTGCAAACAGACTATAGATAGTATTGAGAGCTTGTTCAACCTTTTTTGCAACAATCATGTGTAAGCCCGGGCTTTTTTTAATAATGGTAGCTACGCCCCTGCTATTGAAACGTATCAAGGCTGACAACAGTCCCCAAATAATGCAAACGTTAGGTTAGACTAACGCTTATTCTCTGAATATGTATAAATGTGATTGTAACAGATAAACCCATATAAATTGAAAAGAAAATCCTGGGAGACCAGAGATTCAGAACCCGAACCTAGGGAGATCTAGACTTGCTTCAGTTAGTGCTTTAGCATTGCGGGGAGGGACAGAATGTTGGGGAAATACTATGGTCCAGGGACTGTGAGACAGACTAACGTTGCGACAAAAATACAATTATGAAGCTTGCATCACCATCGAATAACAACTTCTTTGTTTGATCTTTACCTGACATTAAGCAAGGGCGATACTGCCTTTTGCCCGTCAGTGTAGCCTATATGGACATCGTTCTGACCTGCAGTGGCAATATGTTTATATGGTTTAAGGATTAATATCGGATAATATGTTTACCAATCACATCATGTGTCACCTTTTCATATTGGTGGTTAAGTATTTTGCCGTGTGGAAAAGAAAAGCGAAAAGCTATGGAAGACAGCGTGTGTGTGTCTCTAAAAGCTACGAGTTTCCTCTCGAAACCGTTTGAACTTTCAGTTTGGATTCGATAATATCTTTAAACCAATAAACAAGGCCAGTGGATTCATGAAAAAGCTATATACAGCTTTTGGTATTTTTGGCATCGGTGATATATGAAAATCGCATTTGAGAACACTTGCTGTTGCCTTGGCTATGATCACGACCTTGACCTGCATGACCTTGACCTGCAATGATCACGACCTTGACCTGCATGACCAGGCTTTCAGAAAGCTATCACAGTAGCCTAATGGTTGAATCCGTTAAAGAACAAACAGCATCATCATCATCATCAGTGGCACCAGGTTCCATGTTCCAGCATCTGTTCTGTCTGGAACCAAACTTCTCCATGGTAGACAAAGGCCATAAAGAACACGAACAGGATTTCTCACATAGACACTGTTTTCCCTTCAACAAACTCACAATGGTGTGCTAGATTCTTCTCACTTTATTCCATTGACGAACTTAGGTAGGTGGCCTTTGTGGTGTCCGTTACAGTTGGCCATGTGTGCGGGTTTGGATTTCCGGCATTTGACGTACTTGGACAACCATTCACAAGCCAGCGCTATGGCCGCTATCACCACGCCAATACCGATCAGATAGAACGCACTTTGGACGTCAATCAAGATTATAGGTTTGGCTTCCGTTGTGAGAGAACCTTTGCAGAAGCTGTTCTTGGACCACCATCTCTTCTTCCAGATCTGGAGCAGTCCACTCTCGTAGATGCGCATCATCCTGTAGAGGTACAGTATGAATATTCGACATTAACCAAATTCAAATGAAATAAACAACTCAACGTTTAAAGGGATAATCAGAGCTTCCATTCTATTCAAATATACAATTGCCATAACCTGCCGTGCAAAAATCCTTTATACCGAGGTTGTATTTCTTGTAACCGAAAATTGAAAGAACTGTTGTCAAATTATGTACAAATCTATTTTTAATTGACAAAAAATCGATTAAGATTTATTTAAAAATAAAACCATGTAAGTATTGTTCAAGTGCTGACTAAGAGTTAATTTTTTAACAAGATTCAGATAGTTCCCTTTTCGTCTATTATAGGAATCATTTTTTGTATGTCATAGAAACATGAAAATATGGTTATCAAAGGTTGTGTTGCATATATCTAGGAAAGTATATATTTATCCTGTTTTCCCGTTTACTGATCATTATCATGATACATGAAATAATATATTTACATAATACTTAACATATCATATAATAGTATTCATACACCAATATAATACCACCGTCAAGTGTCAAACCAACTGAGGTCGACATTATGCGGCATCAAATAATGCATTGTGGGTTCGAGGTGGCGATAAAATGTTAAAATCGTTTGTTCATATAACAAAACTAGTTCCGTGACTTCCAATTCAACAAATCTAGGATATATTCAAGAAGGTCCGTCTGTAACGTAGTAGAAATAATGGTTCAGATAATGCAATAATATAGACACACTTCATGGATAACTTCTTATATTTCGTCTGGTCTTATTGTTGTCAAGCAGGAATGTAATGTTTTAAGTCTGTCAAAATTGTACTTCCCAATTTCTAAACACGTGAAGATACACGTTAGAACTGGTCTTCAGCAACCCATGCTTGTCGTAAGAGGCGACTAATGGGATCGGGTGGTCAGACTCGCTGACTTGGTTAACACAGGTCATCGTATCCTAATTGCGTAGGTCGATGCTCATAATGTTGATCACTGGATTGTCTGGTCCAGATTCGATTATTTACAGACCGCCGCCATATAACTGGAATATTGCTGAGTGCGGCGTTAAAAACAACCAAACCAAACCCGACTTCTAAAATGCAACTCAAAGAAAACAATGTCCAGGTAGGTGATTTTCAAGTCCCATATACGTCGGAACAAAAGAACACAAATCCACCCAGTGTCTAACCGGAAATTAGCCATCTCCGACCACATCAACTGACCTAATCACGACATCATGTGGAACAATGTACGAATCCTTCTATCAATCTCCATCACTTCACAAAACAAAAACCCACAAACGCATTTAAAAACGTCATTCAACATTGATCAAGGATACTCCATTCAATCTGCCCACTATAAATTGATAAAACAAATAACAAAACACTCCATCCATCATCCCAAATTAACCCCATCAGCATTGTGTATTTGGATCTCATCACTTTCTGTTTTTACTGTATCAATGCACTATAATCCCTTGTTGGCGTTAATCCCTATGATAAACACCCCAATAGTAGGTTTGTTGATCCCTATTGGATGAATACAAGCCTGGGCTCTCTCATTTCACTCTTGCCTGACGATATAAGGATCTATACCGAAACGTCGCAGCTTAATGGAATAAAGAACTTGTTAACCATTAAACACATTGGCAGGGATGGAAATAACCCATTGCCCGACGTCCGAGTCCAGTGATTTTTATGTCGGGCAAGCAAATTCGTATATCACACTGTACCGGCGTCCAGTTGACTTTCCACGGTTAATTATGTTGTTTATTTAAAATATCCAACAAGAAAACGGTCGGTATAGTGGAAAAATTATCAGGGCAAGTGTGCCACTGTACCGGAGTATATTAGCAATTTTAAAGTTATTTCCAACCCTGATTGGATCTGTTATAAATGACGAACTTCTAAAACGCCAATCAATGAATATTGAATACACAATGCCATTTATAGACAGTGTTCAGATGTAACATATGTTATATTTGGCTTACACTTTATTCATTAGTTCCAGTAACACTCGGGATTCGAACCCACACCCTATCGCCAGCAAACAAAATGAGCGATCTTACCCAGTCAGCCACCGTGGCTTCCACAAAAATGGAAGTCCAGTCTCAGAGTCTGGGTTCGAATCAACCAACCTAATAACAATTCTTCAATTTGTACTTTACAGAGAAAGAGTAATCCTAAATATAACATATGCAAACCACATTGTTTAATAGCAAACGAATTAAGCACGACTAACTTTAAAATGTGTAAGAAATAATGATAACAGTACTTACTCCTCCGAGAAGATGCTGACATAAGCGGAATTGTTTGGCAATGCTATGGCGTACTGAAGAGGGAAGAAGTTCTCCTTGATCATCTGGAGGTCGCAGGATGCTGCCATCCACCTCTCCATCATTGATCTGTCCGCGATGTAGCCATAGGACCCTCCCTTCACCTTGTTGTAATGGTCATTGGGGTCGGCGCTCAGGACAGAGGGGTCAGTAGCGTTGAAACGTTTGATCCCCTCCCAGGCTTGGATGTATTCAGATGTGTTGGTTTTCTGGAACAACCAGGGAAAACTGTCGAGTTATATCAACAATAATCACGACAAAATCAAACAAAAATGCGGCTGCACATAGGTGTGTCTGGTGTGTATTATGTTTACTACTACTACTATGAAGATCCGGGTTAGAATTGATATTCAGTAACCCATGCTTATCGTAAGAGCCGACTAACGGGATCGGGTGGTCAGGCTCGCTGGCTTGGTTGACACATGTCATCGGTTCCCAATTGCGCAGATCGATGCTCATGCTTTGATCACTGGATTGTCAGGTCCAGATTATTTACAGACCGCCGCCATATAGCTGGAATATTGCTGAGTGCGGCGTAAAACTAAACTCACTCACTACTACTACTACAACTACTTTAGTAGTAGTGGACTACTATTACTACTACTACTACTACAACGGGGTTAAAGAGTTCGCTTGTCACGCTGAAGACGAGGGTTTGATTGCCCACATGGGTACAATGTGAATGTGACATTTCTGCTGTCAACCGCCGTGATATTGCTGGATTATTGCCAAAAGCCGCGTAGAACTCACTCACTCACAACGGCTGTGTTGCTGGGACCATTTATAAAGTGCTAAGTTCAACATCACCGGGGCCATGTAAATAACAGCCGAGGACGCAATACTGGTCCAAGTTCAACGTGTCCTTGTTGGGACGTGACATATCCAAGGGACGCATCTCTGCACAGCGAATTGCGGAACCTTAGACGATTGGGTGACTCGTTCCACTATAATGTAATGAGTGAGTAAGTGAATTTAGCTTTACGTCACATTTAGCAATACTCCAGCAATATGACGAAGGGACTCCAGAAATGGGCTCCACACATTGTACACATGTGGGGAATCGAACCCGGGTCTTCGCCGTGACGAGCAAACGCTGTTACCACAAGACTACCCCACTGCACCTACCCCACTGAGCAAAACAAGTAAATATGTTGTGCTATCTTACACTTCGTAAATATATACGTGAATACAGCTGTCACCAAACGAGTGTAGTGTACACGGCGTGTTCTCTGTTGGTAAGGGTGTCTGTAAATAACACCTGGTGTCACCACTGCTTTGCAGTGACCCTTTCCCATAATTTCCACAGCTAGTTTCTTTAACGCAAATCTGTCGCATGATCGAAACTGGTTGTTCTTGTTTTGCCTTGACGTTCTATATTTACACTGGGTGTCATCAGCTCAGACCACGATTCAATTGAAGCTAAGCAACGGCGAGCTCGGAAAGTCATTGGATGGGTGACCGTGTGTGGCAGCTTGACTCCTGAGAGTTTCTTGGACGTCGGTCCTGCCCCACAATGAAGCACATGTAATACATGTGGTTTCACCTTAGGCAAGTGAGTTTGTTCAAAATTACCTCTGTTCATCCAGCTGAAAATGGGTACCAGGTTGGATAAAGTCAGGTGACTATAACCTTCTAACGCCTAACAGGCAGCTTGGGTTATCCGGGGTAATAATAATCAGATTCTGATTACAGCGTCCAGTGAGCAATACCAGAAATGGGCTTCACACATTGTACCCATGTGGGGATTCGAACCCGGGTCTTCGGCGTGACGAGCCAACGCTTTATCCACTAGGCTACCCCACCCCCCTCCAGTGAGTAAACTAGTCAGATGGATATACTAGGCGCTATATAAATGAATTATTATTATATATTATTGACTGTCATTCTATTAGCGAGGGTGCCTGTATTTACAGTATTGAGCGTTATTTAAACGTTGTGTATATCTGTTAATAATGTTCTTTTTATATGTCGATAGTGGGTGGGGATATCTGTCAGTGAAATATACCTACTGGAACGTATAACGTAGTATTGACACATGCACTGTGACATTATTACGTATTGCGCTGTTATAAACGACATATTGCAACAGTACGACACACGTGTTGCCATTTGCTGATAATGTTTATGCCACGTACATTGGCAATACGGTGGTAACACATATCAGTGAGTGAGTAAGTTTAGTTTTACGCCGCACTCGGCAATATTCCAGCTATATAGCGGCGGTCTGTAAATAATCGATTCTGGACCGACAATCCAGTGATCAACAGCATGAGCATCGATCTGCACAATTGGGAACCGATGACATGTGTCAAGCAAATCAAGCCTGACCACCCGATGCCGTTAGTCGCCTCTTACGACAAGCATGAGTTACTGAAGATCAATATTCTAACCCGGACCTTCACGGGTAAACACATATCAACACTGTGGGTGCATTTAACACATACAGACACACATGTTGCAACACACATTAAGAAAAGATTATTAAGCATGTTCACTAAATAGCTACTGAATATTAAGCATATTAAAATAGCTTATTGTGTCTCATGTTACTGTGTAACATAAGCTTGTATACATATCAGTGAGTGAGTTAGTTTAGTTTTACGCCGCAATCAGCTATATTCCAGCTATATGTCGGCGGTCTGTAAATAATCGAGTCTGGACCAGACAATCCAGTGATCAACAGCATGAGCATCGACCTACGCAATTGGGAACCGATGACAGGTGCCAACCAAATCAGCTAGCCTGACCACCCGATCCCGTTAGTCGCCTCTTACGACAAGCAGCATACATATCATCACGTACGGATATTTTTACAGTCGTCAGAAAACATTTAGCACTGGTGCATATAGAACGTCAGTGCAAAATAATACCCAGTATTAATTATCCTCGTAAACAAATTCCGTTTGGTGTAAACTGACAATAGCTGTGAAAACTATATGAATGAATCAGCGATAACACTAGGTGCTAGCAAAAGTTTAAGCATGTTTACCACGGTAAGAAGTCTGTAACACATATAAACACGTTTCAGACAGAATACACCTCCGGGCAAAAACAACTACACATCATGGCTGATGGTACTTAGAATTGAAACCAACTAGAAATTGATATTTGTTCTTTACGTATGGTTGTGTGTTGTACCAAAAAGGTGTCGAGGTCTGGGTTCAAAATCTACCGTTTTGATAAAGTTTCTCATTTTTTAATACATTTTAGACAGATAAAATTTTCAAGTGTCTTGGTTTCACCCGGAAGTGGTATGGTAAGGCTGTAACACAAGGTCTATTTGACTATAGCATGTAACACAATGAAGACAAAGCATATAGTGAACACAAACACAGACACAATGTTTAGACACAATTCACTACCACTGCCTGCTCAGGTCTCTGTAGCTTTGGTACACATCGTGCACTAGTGGTCAGTGCACGTCTCCAACCCTTAACACTATCTGGCTTAACGCGACAATGTGAAGAGATCGCGCAGCAAAATGTTTATTTGGTGATTTGTTGTATTTTGAAGGTATTTGCATGGATGCGAATTTGTATATTTGCAAACTGGATTTTGTTTCAGAGTAGTTCTGTTGGGTACCAAATTATTTGGAATAAAGGTGACTAAACTCTTTCCATAATCAGAATATCTCTGCCAAATGCAGACTCCATTGTACGATTCCAACTATTGAAGGCATGTGTTTTTAATCATTTTTAAATAGTAATCATACTAGGTATCACCAATAGGCACTCATCATAAACACATGCTAAGGCAAATCAATTTTTCACCTAAAATGACAAGAATGTCTGGAATTAATGGAGAGTTAAGGCATATTCTAAAATATCACAACTAGCTGAAAATGGAATACCGAATATTGTTGTTTTTATTAAATATTGATTCATAATAATATGTCAACACGCAGTTAAATCCTATAATTAAGTGAAAAAATGACACGTCGAAAACATTAAACATTTGGTCACTGCAGCTGACAAGTTAGAGATGCTGAGGTTGAAAACACATTTAACATCGAGTGTGTATAGGTAACATCTGTTGTGTGAAGAAGTAAATGTATCTTGACATTGTTGTTGATTTCTTGATACGAACACTGAACTTGATTTAAAGAATAAAACACAAAACGTATAACAAAATGAAATGCAATAAAAACTAGGACCTTATAGATATTATAACTTCAAAAAGGATTTAAATCTCGAATCTTCAAAGCCCTGAAGGAGATTTCTTCACATTTTTGTATTGCTAACGGCACCCTCAGCAATATTCTATATATATGTGGACCTATAAATAACCGAGACTGCTGACCATAAAATAATCGATAATGTAAGCATCAATCTAGATCGTCAGGGTATGGGTGTTCTGGAAAATATTTTGAACAGGTGCTCGAGAACAAACAAACAATAAACAACGAAACGAAACAAGCAAATTCTACAAATTTCAAGCAAAACAACACAAGTGTAAATTACTAAACAACAAAACAAAACATTAAGAAGAGACACGTCATTATTGGTTTCTCGGTTTTGCTTCCAGTTTGGTTGCTGTTGACATCTACTAAATCGTGATGGAAGAGACAGTTAGTTGAAATATTCATGATTGACTCGAACGAGCAGAACTACTTAAATGTTTACGACTATGACGCACTGAGGTGTTGAGGTTAATCGTGATTGGAATGTTCTTCAGTTGTATTTTTAATCTAGAGAGTCGAGTTTTACGCCTTTTTAAAAACAATTCCGTATTATGACTGTCTGGGGACATATTGAATGGACTTTTAACATCAGGGGAATCGAACTCTGTTGAACTCGTATAGCAAGCTAGAAAGGCTGAAGTTGGAGAGAGCTAAGAGAATGCAGGCTATTTAAAAATCTATAATATCTAAAATTAACGTACATGTGATAGTGACTTATATTCATGTGTAGAGGTTTAAAAGAATTGGAAAAGAGTTGGCGTATGTAGGCGCATGATGTATCACCTTTTTACTAAAATCTCGAAATATTATTTTTTTTACTCATTCCTCTAGTGGAGGCGCGCATTATGGGTGTGACCTATACTCAAGAAAATACGGTAATCGTATATTGTTAATAAATGATTTCACAGGTTAAACGTTATGATTTGTAGTTGAATCAAGTAAAGTTGAAGATTACAGGCTCTGTAAGATTACAGGCTCTGTACTTTATGAGAAGAGAATAAATGGCTTTGTCTGATGCTGTACCACAGGGCTATCACGAACGTTTTATCTCTTAAGAGACAGTTTGTGATCAGAGAGATGGTGATTAATTTAAAGGAGAACACGTGAATAGAGATGGACGAACATCGAAGTATACAAGAGAGGACGGAGCTGTAGTACACTATACGACTACCACTGGCTAGCTACACAGAGATACTGAGCAAAGAGTTGGTAGAGATTCGCTCTCTGACCAACCTGTGCTACCTCAAACATCGTCTCCCAGTAGGTACCGCCGCCCGCTGTACCCCAGATGTAGTCGGTCTGCTGGACGAGTTCGCTGACGGTTTCGAACGGCAGTTTGTCTTTGTTGACGGTGAGGAAGGCGATGAGGTTGCCACTGTAGGTTGCGGCCATGACGATGGAGAACAGCCACCAGCAACTGACCACTGTTCGTCCGGCCTGCGAGTCCGGCAGGTGCTCGCCTCCTGGAAAAGGAAAAATGGATTCATCGTAAGTTCAGCCGCATTTATCTATCTAGTAGGTTGGTTGGTTTGCTGTTTTAAGCCGCACACAACAATGTTCCAGCTAAATGACGGCGGTCTGTAAATAATCGAGTCTGGACCCGACAATCCAGTGATCAACAGCATGAGCATCGATCTACGCAATTGAGATAAGATGCCATGTGTCAACCAAGACAGCGAGCCTGATCACCCCATGGGCGGATCCAGGAATTTTTGAGGAGGGGGTTCAGGGGTTCGAACCCCTGAACCCCCATTCGCTCACTGCCAACGCAACAAAATATCTTCAATGTGATCTTAAGTCATTTTCAAAAGGGTCCGAACACCCTGAACCCCCTCTGGAACCGCCACTGCACCCTATACCGTTACGACAAGCATGGGTTACTGAAGACCAATTCTAACCCGGATCTTCAAAGGTGGTATTTATCTAGAAATAAATAAAAAACAAATATTTAGTCCGATACCCTACTGCTCTGTAAAACAAGTCTATTTAAAAAACGACATTCTGTACTTGTAAGCCGAGGAATCTCAGCACTTCTGTGAAGAAGTAATTCAAACTAAACTGCAAACTTTTCTGGCCAGTCGATCACTTGATTGTCTGGTTTGTTTTTAAGCCAAGTCAAGCCTATTTATAGACCTCGGGTCGGATACAGATGATACAGAATACATCCAATCGTACAATGAGCGGCTCAACAATTCAGATGAGCCAGGCCGGAGATTTGCTCCCCACCAATCCCTACCCAACCCACTTAAACTTAACTATATGCATACATAATTACAAATATTGCAATATCTTGATCATGATATATTCTTCTTTCAATCATAATGTAGTATACATCCTTTGCCAATCGAACAAATTATACCATTTCTGCGACAGTCTTGTTTTAATTTGATTAATTTGAAAACACCAAGGTTTACATAATAGTTGACAGAACGCAATCGCATATGGTAGTACTGTAAATATCTCATTTTAAGGAGAATTGAGTGAATGGCGGGTGGTACCGACACGGCAGGACATGCTTATCCTTTTCGCGAACACTTGATGTCGTCATTGATGTTCAGCGGTCCATTCGTATAATTTACACAGCGTTTTTACCTTCACACCCAATGGAATCTGTTTCTGAGAAGAGTCAAGGCTTGGTATTCTTTTCCACCGACTTTTTAAATTAACATGGACTGCCATGCGTTAGTAGGTTTGTTTTACGCCGCATTGAACAGTATCCCTGTATCAGAGTATGTCAGCTTAATGTGGAAGTGAAACAAGAAGTGATGTATGTCTGATATTTATACACGTCTCTTTTGTGAAACCAAAGTAACCAGTTATAGTGCTGATCAATCCCAAAAGCTAATTTTGGTTGATCGGCATTCAAACCCGCGATCATAGGTTTCTGGTGCGCCCAAGGGACGCAACTCTGTTGAGCGAATTGCCAACCCTTAGACGCCCGTGGCCACTATAATCGGTAAAGTATAATCAATAATCTAAGGCAACAAATCCATAGCTTCTTTTCAAACGGTACACTTCATAAGATAAATATGACTTTAGCTGTAACACGAAGATAACAAGAGGTTGTTGGCCTGTTGGACTTGAATACATCAAACGATAACGTCTTTGTTATGTGCTGAAACTCATTATGCTGGCGTAAGAAGGAAATTATATGATGGATCACTGGAAGACGGTCATGACGCCATGTTAAAATGATACTCATGGCCTGCTCTACGGTTGATATATTACAGAGGTACAGATAAGCTTCGTATCTGCGTAAATTACGCAAATATTTACGTGAAAACTCATTCTTATTAAGTCTAATGCGTACAAGTACGCTTGACTTTTTGTAAATACTCAATAAGTTTGATCTTACATGCGTACACACAAAAGTGTCGAATCATAGCTTGCGTACTGGTGCATAGATAAAATAACTGAGGTATATTCAGAGGTTCTATTTCAACACATGAACTTGGCAACTTGCAGTCTTTCTTATCGTTTCTCATATTACAGATCCAATATAAATATAACATTTAAACTTTATTATATTTTTACAATTAATTTATGGCAAAAATGGCAAAATACCCAACTGAGATTGAGTGAGGTGGGTACAATCTATTTGGTTACTCAAAGGAAAATTTGGATACCTAATTGAGATGAACACAAGCGAGTACATAACTCAATGACCCAAAAAGTTATCTGTAGCTCTGATATAATTTATTAAAAACACCGGCACACCAAAGTGGCCAGAAGCTTTTCAATTTCACATAAAACGGTCTTTAAAAGACAGCGAACAAATGCGCCATACTTTAGTGACATGTGGAATGGAGCATGTATACTGTCATACATAAGAAAGTATCCACCTGAAAATTGGATTTGATCAATCAATTACAAACGTAACCAAACAGTCGACTGAAGCGAGCATGACATCCATATGAGCACCACTATTGAATAACCATCTGTTTTTTGTTTCCTTTCTAGGTACTATCAGACACAGTCGTATGATTTCTTTTGCCCGCAAATTCTGTGGCAGTTTATCTGTTGAATCAGTTATCTGTTCAACTAAAATTGTGACCTCATGCAACAGAATACCTAAAGCTGCAAACAGGTGTTGTTTGTTTGTTTGTTTGTTGTTTAAAGCCGCACTTAGCAATATTGCAGCTATATGACGGCGGTCTGTAAATAATCGAGTCTGGACCAGACAATCCAGTGATCATCATCACGAGCATCGATCTACACAATTGGGATACGATTACATGTGTCAACCAACACAGCGAGCTTGACCACCCGATCCCGTTAGTCGCCTCTTACGAGAAGCATGGGTTACTGAAGACCAATTCTAACCCGGATCTTCACGGGTTTAGAAGTTGAGAAGTACAATATAGCTATAGGCAAGCGTAAACAATGTCATTCCTGCTTGACAACAAACAGACAACGTAACATAAAAGAAGTTGTTACCCAGAAAGTTTGTCTGTATTATTGACAATCTCTACAAAATCAAAGATGTGATTGCGTTGTTGATTTCTTTCACTATTTCTATTACGTAACATTTGATTGCCAATTCCTCATACCTACATGAAACTTGACTACATAATGATTTATTGTACCTTTGGAAGTCACGGAACTATTTTTCTATTTAAATTCTAACCCGGTGTAGTCAGGTAGCTTAATTGGTAATTGGATGAAGGCATAACCTGCAGATTACTTACCCTGGGTAAGCAGCGCTCCGTACATGTACCAGAACGCATCCCCAAACATTGACTTCTCTTTTCTCTTGCCCTCATAGTACGGATTCCAGCGTTCTACTAGGAAGTAGAATGTCGTGACGCCCAACAGTGATATGAAGATGCACATTAGAACTTGCCACTTGAAGGGGTCGATTAACGTCCGCCATTTAGTCCTGTTGGGGTCTGGCTTCTTGATGAGGATCGTTGTGTACTCGTAATAATAGGGGAAAATAAAATCCACAACTTTTTCCCTGTCTGGCTCGATGGATATTGGTGCCACCACCATGTCTACTTCCTGCAATAGAGTACAATGATATACACAGGTCAGATGTTTGACAGTACTTGTGGTGAACCTACTGTACAGATCATCTCATTTCAAAGCTAATCTATATGTAGAACTGTGCAAAAGAATTGATTTTATATATAATACCATCCCTGTTTTTCCTACCATCCATTATTGTCTACATTTCTTGCCTCCAAGGGGCGGTGGGGTAGTCTAGTAGTTAAAGCGTTGGCTAGTCACGCCGAAGACCCGGGTTCGAATCCCCACATGGGTACAATGAGTGAAGCCCATTTCTGGTGTCCCCCGCCGTGATATTGCTGGAATATTGCTAAAAGCGGCGTAAGACCAAACTCAGTCAGTCAGTCTTGCCTCCAAGTCCCTCAGGTCCTGTCCTTCCTTCCAGTGCTCTTCCCCTTCTTCACACAAGTTTCTTCCAAATTACCTCTTCCCCCTCTTGCTACTATTCCCTCTTAGCATCCATACCCTTCCTGCCCATATTCCTACAGTTTCCCCCTCCCGCCTCCCTCTTTTCTAACAGGTTCCCTTCCAAATTCCCTCTTTCCCATCTTGCCAGCTAACAATTTCACGTTGTCGCAAAGTTATGCTTTCGTTGTTACGTTATTCTATGGACTCCCATTTACTTTGTCACAACGTTGTGGCCTGACGTTGTGATACGTCATTTTGACTTCGCCACAAAGTTAAAGTTGTTTGATGTTAATGTATTTTACGTTGTCTCAACTTTCTATTTAACGTTAATATTAATGGTTGAATAGTCCCCCCAGTAGTCAACAGTACATGTGAAGCAAAGCAGAAATTCACTTAATGTTTATTCGTCAATTTGCATGTAGTTTGGGTCCTGTGTATTCTGTAGCTGAATAGTGAAGAAAGAATCTCAAAGTGAAACGTTTTTCAGAAATCTCTATCGTGACACTAAGTTATATGAACATTGTCATGACGTTGTGAGAAGCCAAACGCTAAACGTTTCTTCGCAACGTTGTTACTACGTTGTGACATAGCGTTATAAAATGACGTAATACTAACGTTGTTACTACGTTGTGACATAGCGTTATAAAATGACGTAATACTAACGTTGTGACAACGTTGTGACATAGCGTTATAAAATGACGTAATACTAACGTTACTACGTTGTGACATAGCGTTATAAAATGACGTAATACTAACGTTGTGACAACGTTGTGTCATGACGTTACCAATCTACAACCTTCCCACAACGTTGAGAAAACGTTGTGTGTATGCTGGGTTCCTACTATTCCTCATAGTCTCCCTACCCTCTCCCCATCCTTCATGTCTCTAATCCCCCAACCCACCTCTCGCTCCAGTTGTCCGATGAGTCCGTTGAAGCTGCCATTCACGAGGGCTCCCCAACCCTTGTCCTCCGGCATTGTGAGGTTGTAACTGTCAACATACACAGATCAAGTAAGCTACAACCATAGACGAGAACCAAATCACTGACGTGTACACACGAATTAAAAGCTATTTTGTCATAAAGGTATCTGTGCACCGTTTCTGAAAACCAAGATGAATGCTACAAATAATGCTTAGTTTTCTTTTAATTGATAGATATCTTGAACACTGAAAAATGGCTTCTTGGGATCGACAGAAGAGAAAAAAGAGTTGTCATCAATTACATCACATAAGCTGAAATTACATCTGCTGATGGGTTATCAGAATTCCCGCGAGGGAACCATACGTCTATGAAAGTACATAAGATCATCCCCCGAGTCTGGCAACAAATTCCAAATACCAATTGTTTCAGCTTTTGTCGTCTCTAACATACATTTTCAGCTCACATGCATGTGGGGGTTTGACCGCCTCCGTGGTGAAGTGGTTAGAGCGTCCGCCCGGAGAGCGGAAGGTCGCGGGTTCGATCCCCGACCGCGTCATACCAAAAGACGTTAACATATTGTACTTGTTGGTCCCTGCCTGGCGCTCGGCATTAATGGGTACAACAAGGACTGGTCGGCTCGGAGTCAGTATAATGTGTCTGAGTGGGGTATTCATGCTTCACTGCGGCATGGTATCTCAGTGGGCTAGCACTATAAAACCAGCTTCAGTCTGGGCTAGTACAAGCAGCCGCACATACACATACACACGCATGCACGTCGTCATATGAGCGAAATATTCTCAAGCACGACGTTAAACCCAATTTCACCTCAGCTCACGTGCATGTGGGACTCACTATTACTCATCCGAACACAGAAGCATTGATCAGCGTTGTGGGGCCATTGATAACTACTTATTCTACTGTGCCAGTGGTGTGAAATAATCAACCATAAAGATCGCATCGTGCGTATTTTCATCTCACGTGTGTGAGTGAATTGGGGTTTATGCCGCTTTCCGCAATATTCCAGCGGTTTGGGACACCAGAAATGGGTCTCACTTATTGCATCCATGAGGGAGTCGAACCTAATACTCGGCGTTACGAACGAACGCTGTAACCAGTAGCCCACCACCCCATCTTACCTGAAGTTGAGAGACGAAGCCAACTCTTTCAACAGGTCCATACAGAAGCCCTCAAACGGCTCCGTTTTGTTGACGGTCTTGATCACAAACGGTTCCCACTAGAACATAGAAGGAACATTTTCACGGGTGTATAATTTCCACCTCATGGTAAGATACATCCATTATATCACAGTTAACACTCATTCCTTCATGGTTAACACTTAGAGTATCAAAGTGAACATTCCTCGCACCGTATATAGTATATTGGCACCAACAACCTTGTGTCTGGACACGAGCTCTGAGATCTGTGGAGACTTACTACCTTTCATCGGGAGCGACTGACTGACTGAGTTTAGTTTTACGCCGCTTTTAGCAATATTCCAGCAATATCATGGCGGGGGACACAAGAAATGGGCTTAACACATTGTGCCCATGTGGGGAATCGAACCCGGGTCTTCGGCGTAACGAGCGAACGCTTTAACCACTAGGCTACCCCACCGCCTCTCATTTTATGTCTTGTAATGATTGCAATTACATTATATATGACGCGAAACTCTCCAATGTTTGGACACCTTCTATCGTATGTTTGGAGTGACACTATCCAATGTTTGGACACCTTCTATCTTATGTTTGGGGCGACACTATCCAATGTTTGGACACCTATCTTATGTTTGGGGCGACACTATCCAATGTTTGGACACCTTCTATCTTATGTTTGGGGCGACACTATCCAATGTTTGGACACCTATCTTATGTTTGGGGCGACACACCTATCTTAATGTTTGGACACCTTCTATCTTATGTTTGGGGCGACACTATCCAATGTTTGGACACCTTCTATCTTATGTTTGGGGCGACACTATCCAATGTTTGGACACCTATCTTATGTTTGGGGCGACACTATCCAATGTTTGGACACCTTCTATCTTATGTTTGGGGCGACACTATCCAATGTTTGGACACCTTCTATCTTATGTTTGGGGCGACACTATCCAATGTTTGGACACCTATCTTATGTTTGGGGCGACACTATCCAATGTTTGGACACCTTCTATCTTATGTTTGGGGCGACACTATCCAATGTTTGGACACCCATCTTATGTTTGGGGCGACACTATCCAATGTTTTGACACCTATCTTATGTTTGGGGCGACACTCTCCAATGTTTGGACACCTTCTATCTTATGTTTGGGGACGACACTATCTTATGTTTGGGGCGACACCTTCTATCTTATGTTTGGGGCGACACTATCCAATGTTTGGACACCTTCTATCTTATGTTTGGGGCGACGCTATCCAATGTTTGGACACCTTCTATCTTATGTTTGGGGCGACACTATCCAATGTTTGGACACCTTCTATCTTATGTTTGGGGCGACACTATCCAATGTTTGGACACCTTCTATCTTATGTTTGGGGCGACACTATCCAATGTTTGGACACCTTCTATCTTATGTTTGGGGCGACACTATCCAATGTTTGGACACCTATCTTATGTTTGGGGCGACACTATCCAATGTTTGGACACCTTCTATCTTATGTTTGGGGCGACACTATCCAATGTTTGGACACCTATCTTATGTTTGGGGCGACACTATCCAATGTTTGGACACCTATCTTATGTTTGGGGCGACACTATCCAATGTTTGGACACGTTCTATCTTATGTTTGGGGCGACACTATCCAATGTTTGGACACCAACTTCATCCAGATCAACACTATATTATATCAAATACGCTAAGGTGGACGCCCGCCACTCGACACAATATAATGAACCCCAACCTCGTAATAGTGGACATCCACGTTACAAAAACAATAATCCAAAAACATGAACCTAATTATAACGGACACTGATTACAATTTCAATCACAGCTGACAAATCACGTTACAGTGGGTACCCACCAAACAATACAGAATACGCTTTTAGTGAGCATATTTGAAATGAATGTAACAAATCACGTTACAGTGGGTACCCACCAAACAATACAGAATACGCTTTTAGTGAGCATATTTGAAATGAATGTAACAAATCAGCACTACTGACTGCATGATGGTAAATATTTCTTAGTGGGCCTCCTTTTAAGTTATTCGGACTATCAGCCAAAGTATACTGGAAGGTCAACGACTGATGTGGACAACAATCTCAGTATTAAGGGCACCTACCCAAGTATCTAGGACGGATACCATAATATCAAGGACACCAGCCACAACATTATTATTATCGTAATATATATAGCGCCGAGTTCTAGCTTGGCTGCTCACAGGAGCTTTGTTTTTCCCTCGATCATAGAATGTCAGTCTCAACGGCACTTCGTATTATAAATCTCAACTACCTTGGGAGCAGACAACTCTTGCAGCCACTAGTTAATGTGGGTTTCCCGTCCTTGCAAGGTACCCATTCACAGCTGGGTGGACTGGGACACATAGTCACAGTACTTTGTCCAAGTTTACTACACGTTGCTGTTCCCGCAACTAGGTGTTTGCATGTATTCATGTGGCCACCATCTTGTCATATACCAACGGATTCGTGGGTTCTTTTATGTGCACAGGGTTGTGTACTGTACACTAGGGGTTGTGACAACACTGAAAGAGTCTGCATACAAAGTTGACTCCAAGGCTTTTACACCCGGTCACAGGTGGGCACGATCCCGGCACCTCAAGCTCGCTGGACCACTAGCCTGGCGCCTTCGACAGCTCGCCCACCACGCCCCAGTATCGAATTCAGCTACTCCTGTATAACGGACACCTACTGCAATATCAAGGACACCGACTCCTGTATCAAAGACCCTTACCACAATATCGAGGACACTGACCCCTATATTTTTGACATCTAAGACCGTATCCATGAGAACTGACAACTGGCACAGTGTCGAGACCACCTGAGATCTAATACAATAATTTGAATATCTACCATAGTACCGAGGACACCTACCGCATTATCTAGAACACCTACCACAGTATGTAGTACACCTACCCTGTTTCTAGGTGACTTACCTGTGCATCTAGGACACCTGGGTCCTGCTCCACAGAGCGTTCGTAGCGCTACGACATTCGTAAGCCTATGATAAACTATAGAGTTACGACAGGTCGTAACGTTAAGAACGCTTTGTTGATCGGGACCCTGCTCCAGTACCTAGGACACCTATCACAGTATCGAGGACACCTACCCCTGCTTCTTTTACACCTACCAGCGTATTGAGGACACCTGTACTGTATCTACTAAACCTACCACAGTGTTGATGACACCTACTCCTGCTTCTATTACACCTAACACAGTATCCAAGGCACCTGCCCCGCAATCAAGGACTCCTACCACAGTGCCAAGGAAACCATCTAAAACGGTGTCGAGGACTCACATCACATTTTACTTACGACAGTGAGCACTCACCACGTTCGTTGAAACGTTGAATAACCTATTGTTGAAGCCAAAGTTGGTGTTTGGAAAGATCTCCACGGCGCTGAACATGTTCAGGTGTCCCGTCCTGTTCACATAGCCTACGGAACTGAGACGTCTGACCCCGCCGGGCTTCCATAGTAACGTGGAGATATCACTACGCCAGCAATGAGCTTGGGATTCCAGCAACTGCAACAGACAGCACCATTCACTGGTCATTGTTGCGTTCATAATATACTCTGGAATAATTGAACGTCATTTGTTTGTTTGTTTATTGTTGAACGCCGCACAAGTAATTGTGTATTGTAGTTAATGTAATCGTATTGTCATGGAAACAACGTTGGCCTTCACCTCAGATAACCAGAATTATCAGTTTCCTGCTATGTTGGTTGGTTGGTTGCTGTTTAACGCCGCACTGAAATGTTTAATGCATAATTCCTTTAGCCTGGCGGTTTATAATCAAACATACAAAATGCATACAAAATATCTTAAAATACAAACTGCATATGCCCCTATATATATACTATAGGCCAAAATATTCTCGAAATGTGTGAAACTGTGCCTTTAAGGTCAAAACAAAACCTCCTGACATACTTTATCAAAATATCTTGCCTTTTTCATTTCAGTAATGTTTGATGCAAACAGCCTGGCGGTTTATAATTAAACATACAAAATGCATAAAAATATCTTAAAATACAAACTGTATCTGTATTCCGCTTTGTTTGTCGTTGCCATTAATCCTGGATGTGTACATCCCAGGGTAAGATAGTTTGAGCAATAGTAAAGAGCTGTACGATCAGCTGTAGATCAGCTCCGTTGTTAATCAATAGATGTTGATTTCGTAAACACGGTACATATTTACCTGCATGAGACTCGGAGATGAAGGTAAATATGTGATAAAAGTTTCTCATAAGGCGACGTGCTTTATACGTAAGTAATTAGCGGAAACTATAGATGTAACGGCGCCTTAAGAGGGAGGCTAACACAACGTGTTGACCCACTCCACTATCGCACTGCCCCGTTATTAAGAGGAAGCCTGGATAACAAGAGTACTGGGTGGATGTTGGACATGTGTTGACAATAGATTACCGTTACCTGTTTCTGTTGACTCTTGTATTTCTATTGGCACAAGTCGATTGATGTACATAGACCGCGATATTGACATCCTTTAGGCGACAAAAAGTTATTATTTGTACGTGGTGATGATCGTGGTTTAATGTGAGTGAGTTTAGTTTTACGCCGCACTCAGCAGTATTCCAGCTATATGGCGGCGGTCAGTAAATAATCCAGTCAGGACCAACCAATCCAGTGGTCAACCACATGACCATCGATCTACGCAGTTGGATGGTGACATGTGTCAACCGAATAAGCGATCATGACCACCCGACCCCGTTAGTCGCCTCTCACGACACGCAAGGGTTGCTGAAGACGAATTCCGGACCATCACGGGCAGCGTCATTAGTTACAAGCGAAGAGGTTCTAGGGTACATGTACCTGCATATATTTCTAAGCTTTTGTAATCAACTGACCAACCTAAAATTGAAATGCAGAAGACAATATCCACTTGACAGTTGGAATAGACCAAACTATTGCAACCCTATAAAATGTTACTCGGCTTCAAAACGTCCAACAAAGACCCTTCTGACTTCGGGTCCCAAGCATAAGTATGGTTGCCATATACAAAGTATCACCTTCGCGTAAACATTTGTTGTTTGGTTCTTGTTTACTCACAACCAGCATAGTGTATACTTTCTTTTACGCAGCAATATATTGCGTCGTAAGTTTGCGAAGCAGTAAAATAATTTGAAAAAAATATATAGAAATATGCAATACACAATATTCTACAAAAATGTAAAACGAACATTTAATTATCAAAAAGGATGACCGTACCTGAGAAAAAACTTGTCTGCGATTAACTACTAGTTAACAAACGGATCACACATCTTCATGGATCGGTTTTGATAACACACAAAAGGAAAATGTGATACTTAAAGACATATATTAACGTTAAGATTAATATCCACCTTTGCATTCTAATCAATACAAACTGGCTTTGTAAGCGATAATGAAAATATCGATATGTTATACAACCTCGCGTCAATGACAGCAGGCAAAGAACGTTTGGTTGGAACGCCACATGCACTATTCATCTGTGCTATGTATGGAGACTGTTGTACTACATATAGGATTCGTGACGTTGCTGAACACACCTGTGTCATTGCCACATGACCTCACCAATAATTTATCTCAGACACGTCACGGTCCAATAAACGTAGGGTTTTCGCCTCTTAACAATTCATACCAGTTCAATGATGAACTGGGGACAGTCTCCTGAGACGTTAAATGTCTCTGCACGCAATTGTTTCACTCACTAAGGAACCTAGCCTCCATGGATGAAACCTGACCTCAATTCAAGGATGCAATCTTACGTGGGTGGACATATATGGAAATGATTCGTCTAATTTGCTTTTGAACAGTTTAATGTTTCTATGTTGAAAAACTATATGAGACATGTCTAAATGTGCATAATCCGTCTCGTGCCTTTAGCTTTTGTAATATTTATAATTTATAGATCTTAAGCTTAAGACCATGAAATTTAACGATTTTATTTTTACTATGTAAATTATGTTTTTTTAATGTAAATTACAAAATATAGTTTACATAGAAAAAATGCAATCAAAGGCCTGTATACATTTATTATACAAAACGAAAGTTTGTGTACATTCTAACAATACACTGAGAGGAAATATTGATTCATAATCATCTGTCTCAGGAATATCACTATTTATGGAAATTCAAAGTCTGTATGAATAAGACAGGCGCCCAGCATTCGATCGATAGTATACAAATGGTATATACTCTGATGTTAGAAGACACCCGTTAACTGATCGGCCACTGCTTCAGTGGAGCGGTTTCCACTGGTGTGGGTCATCCGTTAATGGGTCCCTTACGGGGTAACAGTATTTCAAGGAGTACTGTAAATATATAAGAAGGTGACTCGATCAATTTCTGCATTTTCATCGATGCCGAATATTTATGTACTCGTTTTCTTTCCTTTCAGACACATTTATATAATTCTTTACGGTCATGCGTTTAGTACACGTGACTAGAAATTAAACGGCTCCTGGTTAAAATAGACGCGAATATCTTGAAAATTGATTATGCGGTGTAAAATAATATTCATTAAAGGTCACATGCAACCAAAAAATCAAACATAATTAAAACACAATTATCACTTATTCATGACATATAATATACATTGCTGGTTATGAAAAAACATATAAACAAAATGATAAGCGTACAATCGCAAATCAAAAGTGCAATATTGTGCACTTGGGTTTACTTCCCAAGAAACGAAGCAGCCGGGATACCGAACCCAGTCAGAGCGGGTGGGTGTGCACTTAAGTGTGACGGCTGGTTCATTTGCAGATGCCCCTCACGGCTCATTGTGTGTGTATATATAGATATGTTGGGTTTTGTAAATATATGCCGAACTCGGGCCATAAATCAATGCATTTTGTTTATGGTGTATAGCCTGATTGGTGTTAAGTTCAAATTGCATGTGGTCAGTGATCGCAGTTGTGTATTGAATATTGTCATTAGCAGACAGGCAGGTAGACACACAGGTGTCAATAAAACAAGACATTGAGTTTTGTCTTTGACAACGACAAATTTATATCACAGTTAGAAATTCTGTCAACGCTAAATAATGACATTGCTTTTAAGTATCGAACTGAGAAAGTGACTCGGTAAGGAGAACGTGTGGTGAAATAGACAAATGTAATTATATAAACAGTTAATTTACTGTCCTAACATATAAAAAGCTCGCGCCTGTGAGATATCAACAAAACATTAGAAAAATAGCTCACACCAAAGCCTTCACCGAGTATTCACCGGACAACCCGCTTCCAAGTTGCGCGAACCTATTTCACTGCGCACGTGCTATGAGCGCAGCCCAGCTGTTGAAACCACTGGAATTCTCCCCAAACGCTGGGGGGAAATTAGTGAATCGTTTGAACTACGATTTCGCGCGGTTTTTTTCATTGCGTTATTTTTCAACTTTATAAGCATTTTTGATGATTTGTTTCGGTAAGTCCATACCGAAAGGTATCAGAATCTGGAAAGTTGTGTTTTACGTTGCATGTAACCTTTACGTCCTGGTTGAAATAGTTTTGTCGTAACGCGATAGGCACCATACTATTGGATATTAAGAAACAACATACCGGGGTTACAATATTTGAGCGTTTTATTGAATAATAATAATTAAAAAAACATACTGAGATACAATATTTGAGTGTTTTATTGAATAATAATAAAAACCATACCGAGATACAATAATTGAGTGTTTTATTGAATAATAAGAAAATAAACTGAGATACAATATTTGAGTGTTTTATTGAATAATAATAAAAACCATACCGAGATACAATAATTGAGTGTTTTATTGAATAATAAGAAAATAAACTGAGATACAATATTTGAGTGTTTTAATGAATAATAATAAAAACCATACCGAGATACAATATTTGAGTGTTTTATTGAATAATAAGAAAATAAACTGAGATACAATAATTGAGTGTTTTATTGAATAATAAGAAAATAAACTGAGATACAATATTTGAGTGTTTTAATGAATAATAATAAAAACCATACCGAGATACAATATTTGAGTGTTTTATTGAATAATAAGAAAATAAACTGAGATACAATAATTGAGTGTTTTATTGAATAATTAAAAAAATAAACTGAGATACAATATTTGAGTGTTTTATTGAATAATAAGAAAATATACTGAGATACAATATTTGAGTTTTTTATTAAATAATAATAAACACCATTCCGAGATAGAATATTTGAGTGTTTTATTTAATAATAATTAACACCATTCCGAGATACAATAAGAAAATATACTGAGATACAATATTTGAGTGTTTTATTGAATAATAATTAAAACCATTTGCACTGCATGAACTTTGTGTTAAGCAGAGAAAACTAATATGTATCGAAACGGTCCAGAAGATCAGTTCTGAAATGTGATTTGTTTATGCTTAATATACAAATGTTTTAGTGAGTGAGTGAGTTGGGTTTTACGCCGCTCGCTTTTAGCAATATTCCAGCAATATCACGGCAGAGGACACCAGAAATAGGCTTCACACATTGTACCCATATGGGGAATCGAACCCGGGTCT